CTGTAAAACAGCAATTATGCTGAGTCAGGCTTGATTTTTAATAATCTTTTCCTGTTGAATCAATGAATCAAATCACATCCACAGTAACAGTTTTTATGTTTTTATCTCTGAGAGCAGCAGCTTCTCTTCTTTCAGTGTCTGTTTAATCACAACAGATTAATATTGTTGACAGATTAGACTCCATGAAGCGTCTGTAATCAGAGGCGTGCTGTGAGTCTGCAGCTTCCAGCAGACAAACACAAACACCATGTAGCTGTCGGCTGTGGGAGTCGGCTTTCAGCTACGAGCAGCCGAGTCACTGTGGACGTACGGTACGACCCGTGTTCAGTGCTGCTGTCGACAGTTCAACCCGCCCGTCCACCGTGTCTCCTGCCCTTTGCCCGGTCGTCTCCCACGGCCCCGCCCCGGCCACATCAGAGGAGCTCAGGAGCGTGGCGTGAGGAGCTGAACACAGAAAATAAAACAGAGCTCTTCCTGTTTCTGAGGTTTYATCTGCAGAGTCACTCATCACATCCTCTTTTAGATATAAGGGGTTGTGAAACCCCGACTCTGCGTAGATATGATTAAATGAGGAAACTCTTATTTTAATCTCTTCTCTCCAAACTGGAGAGGGTGAACCTCTGCAGGAAAGAAACGTGTCAAACTGCTGGTTTCAAACTCTGGAGATAAATTCTGCGAGCGACGTGCGTTCCTTTCTTCTTCTTGATTTCTTGCTTTTTCTCTGTGATTTCAATGACTTTCCAGGGTGAACAGGCCGTCCCTGTCTTACGGTGAGGTGATGCAGTACGGGATGGAGAACGTGTGGTGGCTGAGGAGGCACTCGCACTGGGGAAAGTAAGAAAAAAATAAGTTCATGAACAAAATAAGATCACGAGTGGCAGAAAGTGCCGACAGTGCTGCGCTACTTCTGCTCCAGTTAGACTTTATTCTGATCAGTGCAGACAGACTGTCTGCTAAAGAAAGAATCACTGAAACTGTTTCAATTCCATTTGAACCAGTGCACCTCGCTGCAGGAAGGGGCGGGGTCAGTGTCAGACAAATGCCATATATGGAGGTGACACGATACACTCCAGAAATGAAGGGGGCGCTGTTTCCTATACGAGCAGCGGATTATTATTTTTTATTGATCTTGATGGATTTTTGTTGTGTCTGTCGGGTTGTGAGTAAATCCACCTGCTCACCAGCCTACAGGAGCTACTTCTGGTACATTCAGCCTCCACATAACACCGACACTAACCGTAATGGTACTTCTAGTTTCAGCAACTCAGGATTTCAAAATAAGAGTTTCAGTCAGAATAAAACATTACCTGTGAATCTATAAAGCAATAAGACAATATTATCTGAGCGTTGTTAAACAAAAATGGATGGATCTATTCTTTCTTTTTTTTTCACAAGAAATCTTTATTAGAAAAGTCATGAACAGTGTACAAAGCAAATCTGGAAAGTAAATTTGACGTAAATATAAACGGATTGTTTTCTTTTTATTCTCCAAAAACAGGAAAACGATCTGTTTTGTTTTGAACCAAAGGTTTAACATTGTATCAGGCCATATGTGGAACAAATAAATTTTTAATAACAAGTGGTGGCCTGTAAATAAATAAATAAATAAATACATAAATAAATAAATAAATCAATCAATGATAGCTACTAGCTAGCTACGTTTGCATTTTTATAAAATAGCTAATTCAACTAATTTCTTGTCTGTTTGGTTGAAAGTTGTACAGTGTGTTTCATGTACTTTATAT